GGGGGGGGGGGCAGGGATACCCCAGTGGCCGATTGGCAAGCCTGGAAATGCCAGCAGCGAAACCAGAAGTGCTGCTAGGTGACCGAGTACCCCCTCGAAGGCCTGGCCATCTGGAGCTACAGGTGGACAGTGAGTTATACTGACAAGTGGACCCCCGTTTGCTCTATGCAGTCAATGGTCAGCCATGGCAAGCCCATGATGTGGCAGGAAAGATTCTGGAAAAAACTGCTCAGAACAAGGTGCATGTCTTATTGGGGCGAAAGGAGTGATATGCAAATAAATATGGTATTTCATTCTTAACTTATTTCTGGAAGTTTTCACTTCATCAGCACCTAGCTGCTTGGAATCAGAGAACTGTTACCAGCAACCAGATAGATTTTCTAGTGTAGCCAGAAGCCTGTATGTGAAGACTTTGGCCATCATAGCTGTTATGTTCTGTAGATGTCCTTTTTATTAAATCTGTCTCAGCTGGAAACGCTTTTCAAAATTAGCATTTAAAATAGCTACTGTCTTGTCTCATTAAAATTCCTATCAAAGGGCTTTGCTTAATTTTCCTAATATAAACCAGACAAGTAATTTTCCATAAACATTTAAGGCATTTTAATGTCTCCTACCAGAACCACATGCAGTTCAAGAAAGATGTACTGACCTCACTGAGGTAAATAAAAAAGGAGCACGTGGACCCATCCACACCGTAACTTGCATAGCATGCATCCGATCGCCACATATCTTTCATCCACTGAAACAAAGGAAGCAAGTTTGTTAGGTTTAAGCCATATGTACTTATTTTCACTTTATAAAGCCTCATTTTCATGAGAAACACAGCAAGCAGAAAACTCTAAGCTTTTAGACTGAAATAAATAATGACAGGTAAGAACTTGTCTGTGAACACTTTGCAACAGCCTATATGAAGCATATTCATCATCTCATTCAAGCTCATAATTAACTACATCACTATGGATGAACACAATTAGCACTAACTGGTAGCCAGATAAGAACTAAATGGATATTGGAATATCCTCTCCAGACCAGCACTGCAGCACACTGGTAGGGCTAATGCTGCTTACATTGCCTTTATAGATTATATTTGCTTTGTGGTTAAATAGATCACTTAAGTTCCTAGGACCGTCAGTCTGACATCTTTACTCAAGCAAAAAATGTTCTTTAAAAAAGATAAATGAACAACTTGCCATTCAAATTACATAGCCATTTTGCAGTGTAGTGAAATTGTTCAAAGCAGGGCTGGAAATTTATTTAAAAAAACCCAAAACAAAACAAAAAACAGCATATAAAGAGATATTGAAATAAATATTGTAATTTTGTAGAAAAAATTTAAAAATCTCAGATACCAAGTAACACATAATAATAATAAAAAAAGATTCTAAGCAATTGCAGAAATCTCTCTCAATATGTTAGAAATACATCCTCCTACTTTGATGAAGTGTCAAACAACTGGAGTTCCTGGATGCAATTACTAATGCACATTCTTATTTTTTAAAATCTAAACACCCCCGACTTTTTAATCTTATGGATCTTCTGTTTTTTGTTTAAAAGAAACTGACATTATTTTATATTTGTTGATTCAAACTTCCTTATTAGCATGATATATAATTTCTACAGGGATGACTGTGGTCTTAAAACCTAAGGCCAAATGCAATTGGATTATTTATAAAATTATTCAGATGTTTGTTTTGTATGACTGGGGCAGAAATACTTGCTAAGCTCTTCCAGCATGTTAGTTATCAGTCAGCCTTGCAAAAGCCTCACTTGATTCAATGACACGTTTGTACCTCTCTAATACAATAAACCATTGCGAATTTCCAGAACTACAGGGAATGCGGACCAAAGCCTATTGAATATGAGGAACACCTAAACATCAGAGAAACAACTCCTCATTCCCCACAAAACTAAAAAACAGGGACACATGGAGCTTCTGACATCTGATTAGCACAGTAAGAGCTTCAAATACGCGTGGAACTGTACATATAGCAAAAACCAATTTGATGGCACTCATTAATAACCTTCAGCATAACAATATTCCATCTAATTGCTGCTTTTATTCTTGTGATACTCTTTTCATCTCCAAAGAGGAAAAAAATGGTGGAGAGAAAGAGAAGGCATGGGGGGGGGGGTAAGTGCACAGTGCCCCTCGCGTAGGAGGAAATGAGGCACATAGGGTTGGGGGACCTTGGCATGGTGGAGTGGGAAGGGACTAAAGAGCCATTTTAAACGGAAGAGGCAACAGAACCCCTGGTGGAGGGGGGGGTGGGAATATAGGTAAGGGAAAGAGACACAGCTGCTGGCAGGAAGAAAGAGCTAGATAAAAAAAAGCTACCCAAGTACTATGGGGCTATCGTATTTGCTTTAACAAGAGGCATCATTATTCACTTTCTTTCAGCAACAGTCCTATTTTGGCTTGAGGTGAGCTGTAATGACAAGTTCTTCGGTACTTGTCTTCTGGTCCCTCTCACTAATTTGTGTTTTATGAAACAGCACTTGTGTCAGCACTGACATCTTTTAAACACAGACCAGATTTAAAAAAAGAAAAAAAAAGAAAAGAGAATATGTACAATGTGATCACCTTTACCTTTATTTTGCCTTCACAGTGAGGAAAACCATCCATAGGAGGCAATTCACACTGTTCTTGGGCTCCATTAATAAGATCTGAAATGAAAAAAAACACAGAACATCATTGTAATATAACTTGATGTGCATATTTGCTGGATTTTCTAATGAATCCATGACTTTAAATGAAGAAGTCTTCAAAGTGATATTTGACAGTTGACTATTTCACCAAAACAGTGACATTAAGACAACTAGAGGATATGTGCCCTCAATGAAATATGGGTTTCTATTTTGGTAAACTGGTTCTTAAGGAATATGAGAGTTCAAGGGAGGAGACAGGAAACCAACATAACCCATGGCTCACATTTCACTGTGAACAGTTAATCTGATATCCTGTCTGGTCTTGGCATCAGAAATCATAGAACAGGGTTGACGATTTCTGCAGTTTTTGTTTTGAGCTAGGCAATTCATGTCGCCCTGCCTCCTAGATTCATATGAGTACAGAAGCACCTCATTTTTCACTGCACAGAGTCTCCAGTTCCCAGGCTTGTGAAGAATAGCTTGAAGACTACAACATACTTTTTTTTTTAGTTTCACTATTTTGAAGGTCTGAACCACTATATTTGAATATCTGGGGTTGGCAACACTGTGAATGGTGTGGTTCATCTATTCAGAAAGAAAACACCGAAATGGTACATCTCTTTAAAAACAATCAACCCAAAACCGCAGCACCTGTCTGGCCACAAAATCATCCTTGTGCAGAAAATGTGATTCTTTATATCCTTTATCAGCATTTGTCTTAATCAACAACATACATTTATATATTTTTATATTACATTTTCATGTAAAAGGTTTTTAGGTACCCATGGTAAGTTGTGAATACAACTCCTAGCAGACTTATTACTTCTGTTCACTTGGCAACAAAACTCTAATATTCCAGTTGCAAAAAAATACCATAAAGATGAGACAAAGTTCGTGACCATATGGATAGACAAGGGTCCCTTTAATACAATATTTCCTTGTTTTTATGACCTTATGGAATGCTTTGTTCAAAATGAGATAAACTAGTTTTCAAGATACTGATGAAATGTTTGAATTTTTTATTGGTTTACTTGTTGCAAGCGAGTAGACTATAAATATCACAGCATTAAACAGATATTTTGAGCTTGCTCTATTAAATCATAGCAATCCTGCAATATACCAAGAATAGATAAAATATGTTTTATATTGATGATCAATTTGTTTTTTTCATAATCGATAATCTAAACAAGCTTCATCAATTTAGTTACCTAAATCTTTTCTTATTAAAAGCAACTAACAGCTCAGTTCTGGTATTATTTTCTAAGAACGTACGTCCTCTGCAATGCCAGTCAATAACAATGTATTAATATAACATTATCAAGGCTCTAAAGAGGAAAAATAACATTGTCTAGTGCTATCAAAACAGAGGCAGAAGCCCATCACTTCTTAATGCCAAATCAGATTTTTGCTTTTATTAGGTTGGAATGAATAGTTGACACTGGATATAGCAGGGGTTTGCAACCCTTGGCGCACACGCCACAGGATGGCATTCAAAGGCATTTTGCTTGACACACGTACCTCAGGGCAGATGGTGGGGAAGGGGCTGGGGTTGCACAAACGAGGGTCGGGCCCCTCGCAGCTCCCCCACTGTCCACCTGAAGGCACACATACACCCCGCTGGCAACAAGCTGAGCTGGCTCTCTGCAATCCCCTAGTACAGATGTGTGCAGCCTCCCTGCCACCCACCACGAGGAGCCCAGGACCTGTGGCAGGCAACAGGGGCCAGCCCAGAGCTCAGGCCAGCTGTGGCAGGCAGTTGGGAAGCTGCAAGCAACTGCCGCAGGGTCCACAGGGCCATGGCCTAACTTGTTGCTGGTGGTGGGTGCATGTGCACCTAGGGAAGATGGCAGGCGAGTCATGAGGGGCCCAATCCCTGTTATGGCAGTGCAGCCTGGATCCCTTCCCTGCCGTCTGCCCCAGGCACATATGCACCCGCTGCTGGCAATGAGTCAGGCCAGGGTCCCGCAGACCCCAGTGGCACTGCTTGCACCTGCCAGCCACTTGCCACAGCTGGCCCGGGATCTGGAGAGGTCCTTGCCACCGAGCCCGCGCTGCTCTGAGCAGGCCATGGGAAGCCTGCCAGCAACTGCACCAGGGTCTGCAGAGCCCCAGCCTGACTCATTGCTGGTGGCAGATGCATGCACACTTCAGGGCAGATGGCAGGGAAGGGGTCTGGGCTTTGCTGCCACAAGGACCAGGCACCTCATGGCTCCCCCGCCATCCACCCCTGGCACATCAACATCTTCCAAGTAGAGGTTACAGGTGTTATTGGCACTCTGCCCAAAACCATTGCTGACCCCTAGGTTATTATTATACAGAATCTAAAATCTAAAGTGGTGCCACCAATTTAGCCAAGCTTTGTACTTGTCCTTCAATATACAATTTGTTGACTAATTCAATGAAAACTCAAGAGATCCATTATTCAGTTATAGATTTTCTGTCACTAAGTTACAAACTCAGGGGCCTGAACAGAAAATTGTCTCGTAAGAGGCTTTTTACTTTAATCACAGCTTCCCATATCCAACTGGGTATGCTCAGCTGCACAAAAGGAAAAATCAGAAAAGCAACCAAGCAAGCAAACAAAAAGAAAAAAACCCCACCTAAGTATACGACACAATGACACTGAAGACTCTCACTAGGATGTACTTCTTCCCGCTGAGTCTTAATTTAACTGCATGATGTGACAGTATAAAATCAGCAGGATATAGAACAGGAAGTGTTCTTGATGAGACATAAAATATAAGTCTTGCAATTCTTTAATATCTTGTAGGAATTTCAAAAAAGGGTGAAAAATATTAACTGCCGTACCCTAAACAAAATTCAAATTGGGTACTTACAATTTCATATAGATTAGGGAAATGTATCCATACCTTAAAGATACTTTCTTGGAGTAACACAATGTACAGAACCAACCTACATAATGCACTGCTAATTTGGGAAAAAAATGGGATTACTAATCTGTTTTTCTTGAATTCATTGCTGTGCAGAATTATCACTAGTGCTTAATCCTTAAAACTCCTTCTTAGTTCTACAGTACACACATTCTTGGTGTTTCATGTGACATCTATTAGAAAGAGGTCATTTCAATGTAGATGATGGATCTGGCAGACAAGAGGAAGCATTAGAGAGCATAAAAGATAATTCATGGGGAAATGACTCTTATTTTACACATACATGACTGTGGCCAGGATGGTGATTTTTTTTTTTTTTTTGCTTTTGTCGTGTTCTGAACACATTTTCTGTATATGATGACAATAAGGCAGTTATAGTAGATGGGGAGTGTGTTAAATGAGGTGACAATGGAGGCTAGAGGGAAAGGAGTTATCAGCTAGGACACACAGCATTGCTATGGCTGGATGCTAAGGACACTATACTTGGCCTGATAGGCATTTCACTGTATTACAGGTTTGCCAACTACAATACATCTAATGCAGTAATTGTGAAATGGATAGTTCTGTCATGCATTCCTACAGATCAGCTGAGATGTTGCAATAGTACAAGCATTTTCATTTTTGCCTTCTGGCAGCTAAAGTCTACTGTAGCACCTGTTAAGGAGGCAGCTACAGCATCCTGTCTCTGCTCTCCCAGCTGGATTAGGAGCAAAAACAATTATTTGGGAGAGATAACCTTGTACTGGTATCAGTACAAGCCCCAGGCTCTCCCTATTTCTGTTTCTCTGTAGCTAGCCACACTAGTTCTTCCAGAAGAGCCTGCCCCCTTGCCCAGATGTCTCAGCACCCACATACCACACATGAACCCAGGGCCTACCTACAACCTCAGCAACCACCAACCCCTGGAGTTCCTTGCTCTTGGGACTTCCCAATATTTCCTACACCCACTGCAGCAGGAATAGCCCATGCAGTTACGCTCTGGCTTGCCAAACCCTACTCCTCCCCCACAGTGAACATCACAGATGCCAAATTGCTTTGAGTTTCCTGCCTTACGTCTGCTACTGGCCAGGGTGGGGTAAATGACAGCAAGCTGAAGCTTCAAGTTGCTAAAATGTTCATTAGTTCATCAAACAATTTGCATGAAATGTAATCCAGAGCAGAACAAAACTCAGCCATGCATTTAATGAAAAGGTAAATGGGAAGTGAGGGAGTGACACAGAAAAGACAATGTAGTGAACACTGTACAGTTTCATTTAACAGTTGCTAGAAATGTTCACCTTCCTTCATGCTTGCCAGCAAGAAACTAAACCATGTAATTGTACTGGAAACCTGCCTGCATTGAACAGAGTGGGACATGACACCACACTGGGTAAAAGGCATGATAGCACTTGAACAGCCCTTTTGCTTTTAATATTTTTTTGAAAATGGGACACAAATGTCAGCTGAACACACTTTTACAGTGGTTTTCTGGGGGTCTGTGAAAGATGACTATGATCAATCAGAAGCATGTGAATACCCACGCTTACAATTCAAAGGGGTCTGCAAATGAAGAAAGGTTGAAAACCACCGGTCTAAAGTACTGGCCCATTATCAATGACTAGCATTTGCATCAAGTCTATACCCTCTCTCCACCAGTAACTCTCAAGTCCTGCTTTAAAAAAGGGAAAGGGTCTCCTCTCCTATGCTCATCATCCCCCTATATTCTTTATTTTGGTGGGAATTGTGCTCTAGCTCCCTTAGCCCCTCACTGGCCAGCTGGCTCCTGTGAACCCTTCCTGTCCTATTAACCCAGAAAGAAAGAAAACAACTTAGGATTTTGCTGACTGAGCTGCACCATCTCTATATACCCTCATGTCTTTTGGGAAATTCAGCTTAGGATTGAGAAGCAAGGGTTTGGCTAAGGGTATTAACCTTTGCTTTTTCATTGTTTCATGTCAGGACATTTAGCTTATAATTAGAATGAGTTATTACTTGATTCCTCCACCCTTGAAACTACCAACTCCCCCATTTTAACACTGAACCCAATCATGTTGCAGCTGACACTTAAAATCCAGCTACAGTGTCATGTTTCTCTTTATCCTGACCAAAGCATGGTGCATGGTTAAAGCAGGAAAAAGAGCAACAACT